AAGGCCGGCAACGCACTTGTAACGCCTTGGTGTTCCAGGTGTCCATGGGCGCCGCTGATTGCTTACCATCAGATGATACGTCAGCTCGTTTACCGGCTTATGCTATAAAAAAAGTATCTAGTATCATTTGTGAAAATATGAGTACCACGGACGAACCATTGGGTGGACATGAAGCTAGTTTTAAATAAATTCAAAAGTAATTTTAGTTTGGACATGTAGAAAGGATGGATGAAAGTAGAGTACCGAAAGAAGTATACAGAGCGGATATGAAGCTATATGATACGAAGCGTCGGTAGAGGTCACCCTAGACGGTCATATACTAACTAGATTGGCGCTATAATAAAGAAGGGCCAAATTAAAAGTACCCTTACCGACCAGTATGCATGTAAAGACTGATGACTAGTGATGACTGTTGATGAAGCGAAAGAGGTATGTAAGAATCCAGAATTGGCGTTTCATAGTATCTGCCTACCCCCACGGGAGACAGGCGTGCAGTTATGTCTGTATGTATGTTTTATTATCTTATACTATTATATAAAGCGGAAGACTTTGTTTTTTGTTTGTTTGTTTGAACACGCTTATCTCCGTAACTACAAGTCTGATTTGAATAATTCTTTTTGTGTTGGAAAGTGCATTTATCGAGGATGGCTATAGGTTATAAAACATCACGCTATGACCAATAGGAGCTGAGCAGAGCGTGTGAAACCGCGTGGAAGTAGCTAGTTTTGTATATAAAAACTAGTTTTGTATATAAAATGACGTGGACGTGTTATATTTACCTGCACGATATATAAACAGGGACACAGTGGCGCTCCCCCTCCTATACTGATACCTATCAAATTCTTGTCATCTTTGCTTAGCACCACGCTGCCTGACGTCACTGTCATACCCCTGGAAGTGTTCAAGCTTAATTTTAAATCTAACTAATGATGGAGTACGAGAAAAGAGGTTAAATAAAATCTATGTGATACATAGATAATATATTGTAAGTTTACAAAAAATTCTAGCGGGATTAAGTAATAATACTTTTATACAATATTTTTCTACAGTTTAATTACATTTCTAAGTTATATATGATAATCTTATATTATCTTATCATAAATTACGATATAAAGCGGAAGAGTTTGTTTTTTTGTTTGTTTGAATGCGCTAATCTCCGTAACTACAAGTCTGATTTGAATAATTCTTTTTGTGTCGGATAGCGCATTTATCGAGGATGGCTATAGGCTATAAAACATTAGGCTACAACCAATAGGAGCTGAGCAGAGCCTGTGAAACCGCGCGGAAGTAGCTAGTTTTAAAATAAAACAACGAGTGCTTATTCTATAAATGTATTTATTTTTAGCTTAAAACTAGCTTATGATAAATTACTGCATTGACTACAAAGAGATCTCTAGCTTAAGTAAGTATATTGTAGCTGATTCAGCCTATAAACCTTCCTTATCATAGATTCATCCAAAAGTATTGGAATAGAAAGATAGAAATATTTTTTTTTTTATGTTATAACGTAAATTTACAGATTTTACAAAATTAGCTGTCAAAATAAATACATATGGTTAAAACTCCTTCGTAAATACTTTTAGCATATTTACTTAGCTTCATTACACCTAGAAAAATAAAGGAATAGGTATGTTTAGTCAACTATTGGCTATGTGCGAAGCGAGTAGTGGCGGACAGATAACGACCGCAGCGCACAACACGGCAGATATTGGAAACAAATGCGGATGATCAGCTGGCAAATGTGTTGATTTCTTGCAGTACAAAATCAAAGCAAAGAAATGGGCGTTGCTCTGGCCGTTATGTCGCAGTTCTTCCTCATTTCTTACATGCTTGGCTAATACTAATTTATTGCCTTTTGTCTCAGTTTGTGGTTGGAAACTAATATTACGTGTAATAGTTTCAAACCCGGTTTTTATTATTATATTCATTTTATAGTAAAACTATTGAATTAATTGCACTTAAATAATGTCAACAATACGATTTTAATCTTTGGTTTTATTTATATTTGCAAAGTAAAATTATAATGTTTACATTGTTATTATTTGACAGCTTCCACAAATGTTGTAAACGCTACGCGTCGCCACCGTCGCGCACATAGCCAATAAGCGAGTGTGTTACATAAAGTACACAAAAACGTGAGAATTACCGAGCGAGTAACAATGATCTAAATGATTGATGGTTACCTGGAGTTTGTACTAGTTTTTTTAAAGTAGGTATATTAAAGTTCTTTATAATTTTGTATTAAGTAATCTATAATGGTATCGCGTCGATGTTACAAGCGATTTCATTGATTGAATGACTTTGGATCATAATTTAAAAAATGAATGCACAGTGCATCGTTGGGGCGGTGGTGGCTGAGCAATTGGCTGCCGCGAATCATGTCACGGTTTCGATTCCCACACGGAACAACTCTTTGTGTGATCCAAAGATTGGGTCGGGTCTGGGTCTCATGTGTATGTGAACTTGTATGTTTGTAAACGCACCCACAGCACAGGAGAAAATCCTAGTGTGAAAGAAAATACCGACTGACGGGCGGCCATATTTATTTATGACTGATTTCAATCCAAATGTCTTATCAAGACGACTGTTTAACAGAAATTTGTTTGAAGTCTATCTACATGGAAATGGAATATACTTGAAATGAATGATATTTGCTATTAACTTTGGCCGCTTAAATATTGGCTATCACACAATAGTTCTAGGTACTTAGCCCAAGTATTGGATACTTGCCAATAAGTCAAAAACAATACTTTATCCGAACTGTCAAAAACCACAGTTTTCTATTAATTTTGTAGGAGATTGTGTATTGTGACGTCACGTTTTTTTAGCGTCCAACAGCATACTTATGTCGGAATACTGAAACGCTACTCAATTTTAAGTCGTGCTTAAGTATAGTTCTATCTCTACAAATTCTTTGTAAAATGACAGAGATGGCACGATATTTGAGCACGACTTAAAATTGAGTAACGTTTCAGTATTCCGCCATTATTTGTTAAAAAAATGCTGGAAAAATACTAAAATTAAGTTTGTCATAAAATCAATTTGATGAAAGTGTTATTATTACTGATTATTTTTTAATATTATATTGTATTGAACAGTCGAAATAATTTATTTTTGATGGTGGCAAGTACCCAATTTAATATAGGTGTTTCTTAAACTGCTGTATAACTTACAGAAGATCTTGATGTTGTATGGTGTATCTTTCAAATCTTAGATCGTTGAAAATGCATTCTGTGTCCGCTTCCATGAGGTTTTCTTTTGGCTGTCTATCCGTAAAAAGGTTAAAATAGTTTTTAGTTACTTTAGTTAGCGAAATGGCAAATGCGAGAGCCATCGGTCTTAGGTTTAAAGTTATATGTAGACTTTTTTATCCGACTCGACCGGAGTGATACCAAGGCCTCACAGAAAACCGACGTGAAGCAACGCTTGCAACAATCCTCAAACTCCTAATCCCCAAAAGGCCGGTAATGCACTTCTAACGCTTCTGGTGTTCCAGGTGTCCATGGGCGACGCCGATTACTTACCATCAGGTGATCCGTCTGCTCGTTTACCGTATATACCTACCATAAAAAAACTTTTTTTTCGATTTCTGATTCATGAGAGTAGGTACTATACGTATAAAATTTAAGTAATGTTAAGTAAATATATAAAATGAAAAAAGCACTTACTCTTCAAAAATCTTGATTTCCGACACATCCTTTACTAATTCTTGGACCGATGGCGTTGCACTACATTATTAATAAAATAAATATAAATAAATCAGTTATAATAAAGGTTAAAATAAAATCAAAATAACATTAGGTTAGTATAATAAACTCACTTTTCCTCGATCGGCAATAATAAATTAGACACTTTCCCGTTAGGTTTGCTAAACAAAAATAACAATTAAACATAAACCAAAACAAGCATATTGATATAATAGATATTAAAAACGTTTAAATACCGCGTACAGAAGTCCTTTATTTTTTGTCCTTTTATAAAATGCGTGTACTTTCTCAAACACTTATTTTTTAAACCATCCTTAGTACCTATGTTCTTGTAAATATAAGGTTATAATACATAAACCTATACATACATATAATAATTACTGTAAATTCAAAATCACACACAGACAGTGTCAGTAGCAGAAGAGGAAGAAGGAGATTTAGACACCAAATTTAGAAGGGGGCTATGAGCATCGTTTTTCCTGCGGGTCGCGGGACGCGGTGCCCATTTTCACCGGGTCAACCCCGAGAAGGAGAAACCTCCAAAACACATAATTACTGTGTAAGTACATACGTTAAAAACCATTACAACTATCAGACTTTGTACCTACATCAAAATCTAAGAATAAATCCCACACCATACGGTGTTAAAATTTTCCACGTCTCTCTAACCCATACACAACTAATCACATCTATACTTAGTATAAAAGTCTATCAAAACAAACAGTTTTCATACACATACAAAAAGCAAACCTAACTAAAAAAAACCATAAAAGTTCGACTTTTAAAAATAAAAAAAATACGAACATTTTATCTTCAAACATGCTGTGTAAAGTCGCTTGGAGCTGAGGACAGATCCTTGTATCATTAAAAATATAAAACTGACTATTCTGTTGCCACATTGCCACAAAAAAATCAATAAAAACACATAAACGTTGTAGTCTGTTAAACAAGCGATAATATTCTGCAAACAAAGGAAGTTGGGTAGATAAGGAGGATATATTGCAGACTATTAATTTGCTTTTATTATCTGTGGTGAGCTGTCAAATGAGAGCAAAGGGCATAAATGAAATTAAATGAATATATTATGAATGCAACAATAATGAATGATAAATATTTCCTTAATATTTAAAGGTTGCTTTATGAATCTAAAAAATTATAAAATATATGATATCAGAGAGGTAAATGATATACAATGATATATATTGTTATTTTGTGGGCAGATGTTCCAACTCTCCCCACCTGTAGCTTTTCAAAAATAATAGTACTATGTTTTGAATCAATAACAGCGTTACAATGAACAATAGTGTATATGGCAAAACAAATAATTTTATCATAAGAGTAAGTACATAAAAATACAACACATTTAACTATGTACTTGTTTTGTATTGTATTATATTCCTTTCAATACATCACAATATCGGAATAAGAATAAAACCTATCTTAAAGAAAATTGTAGTTAATTTAATTTTAAGAGCCTGATAGTATATAGATAGTAGATAATATTTTTTAATACCAGGCAGATACTAATTTAATTTAGAATAACAACGAACACACAATCGCCTCCGCGACGAAAAACGATCTGCCCAAGAAAAACACATGGATAAAATAAAAAACTAACAACAAACAAATACGTACATTTTATCCTCTTCAAAGAAAAAGTCGTCATCGTATTCTTGCATCATTTTGTCGTTAAATAAATTATAATTTCACTTTGTTCAATGCGAAATGAAATGTCACTGTGTGTTGTTGAAATTATTGATTTTTCCCGGCACCCCGCTGTCCGGACAAACGTCAGACTCGTCGGTAAAACAGGGTTGGGAATATTGAGGAAAATCGCAGGAGGTTTTATGGTTTCATGTTGAACTCTTTGGTGTTTTAAACTGTAAAGTAGATTCGTTGTATTTTACTTGGTTTCTTGTATAATAAAAAATTAAAGCTTCAGTTTTACTGTATTTCATAAAATACCTAAAATGCCTCTTTATAAACGTTATTATGTATGAGTTAGCACTTAAACCTCCTCCTTACCTTCACTGTTTACCGTTAGATGTCGCTTACAGGTTTTAAACCAAAACTTTTTGTAATAACTATCGTCAGACATGCTGAATTAAGTAAAAATTACGAGTTACTCACGAGTGACTCGAAACTAGTAGAGCTTTTATCAGTATATTTACGTAGGTAACTCGTTTAGTTAACCAAAATGTTGTTAAGTTAGGGTAACTAGGTTAGGGGTTTCTTAAAAATTAAAAATGGGCATTAGTTCTGTAGTACTAATACGTAATTGTTATATAACGCCGGTTTTCTGTGGGGTCGTGATATAACTCCGGTTAAACCAGCCAAAGTTTTTTTTGTTTGAGGGGGAAAATCATCCAATCACTTCTCCTGCCTTGAGTGTGGTGAAAGGGATTGTCAGCCTGTTACTAACTAAAAACCACTCCGTTCCTATTTCTGCTTCAAGCCTCATCTGCAGCCAGTACCGTCTTGACTAGAAGAGCACTTGGGGCCCGTTTCCAGGGGCCCTGTTCTCAGGGGACACGACACGTTGCGCGGCAGTCTGCTGCCCCGCAACTTGTAGCGGGTTTGATTCTCGCACGGAGCAAATCTTTGAGTGATTCACAAATTGTTGTTTCGAGTCTGGGTTTTATGTGTATGTGTACTAGTATGTTTGTAAATGCACCCATGATACAGGAGAAAATTCTAATGTGGAGTAACGTTAAAAAACATTCTAAAATAGCCAAAAGTTTTGCATGCCCAAGAGCCCCTGCGTAGTCTTAGACATCCCTGTCCGACCCTTTAAAGCATGCCTCTTCAACATGACAAAAAAAATAAATGTTTATGTACATACATATTAAATCTACCGAGTATTTAGCCAACGACTTAGACGTGGGGCTTAGACGTTTGACCCTTAGGGGTTACGGAAATCCATAGAATACTTATTCTGTGGTAATGCTATGTATTGAGGCTTTAACGTTAACTTTACGCATTTAAATGACTTAGCTGTCAAAGATCAAGTGTGGGAGAGCCATGCTTCGGCACGAATGGGCCGGCTCGACCGGAGTGATACCATTTTTTATCTCTTCTCTTCTCTCTCTCTACTTCCATTTGCAATCGGTCGCCAGTCCATAAACGAATTAGTTCAGAACAAAACGGCATTGTGATGGGGCATTCAGCGCTGCTCCTCCCGCTTATAGAAGGTGGTTTCTCTTCGGCCTCATTGCCAAAATCTGTATTCCCTAAAGAATATAACCTGGGTGTCTTCAAGGCCCCAGTGAATACGTTGTTTATGGGACGACGTGCTCCATCGTAGACCGTATCACCGCTTACCACCAGGCGAGATAGTGGTCAAACGTCGGCCCAACACCACATAATATAAAACAGAGTCGGTATCCACCGTCAGTCTGTCCCTATGTATATATATAGGGACAGATAATATATATAATATATTCATATAAGAAGTCCCTATATATACATAGGGACAGACTGACGGAGGATACCGGCATAGATCTTTAAAACAACGCAATGGATTTTGATGCAGTTTTTTTTATAGATAGAGGGAGTCTTAAGGATTTTTTTTAAGGGGGAAAATCATCGTGTGACTGCTCCCGCCTGGGTGAGGCGGGAGGGAGTGTCAGACTGTTACTGACTAAAAACCACCCTGTTCCTTCTCCTGCACGTCAAGCCGGAGCCCCGGTAACCCGTTAGGTTCTCCGCGACTTAAGGAAGGTTTATATGTATAATACATGCATATTGCCACCGTGCGAAGCCGGGGCGGGTCGCTAGTTAAATATAAAAAAGCCTCTTCACCGTCGCAGTTAGTTTTAACAGTTCAGCTAGTAGTAGATTCGGATACAAGGTTATGCGTTTCTTATTATTTGCGTTTTGTATAGCTCAATTTCAGAGGTCATGCACTGTTGTCATATTTATGTAGTCATGGGTTTCATCGTTTTTAGCAAACCAAGGCGCATTGGTAATTAGAACAATTTTACTATAATAAAATAATCCTTAATTCATTTACCAGTGCATTATAACCTACTCGCAAAAAAAGGTTCGTTACCTAATCTCCGGTGACGTAACGTACACCGTCACCATTATGCCTCGTTGGGCAAGCTGCACTGCTTTATATGTAAAAGTTACATTTAACTTGTTCTACCAGTATAAACCGGCGCGCCTCGCAAGCTAGTCATTAAATTACAAAAAGAAAGAAAAAAAAATGAACAAAATAATTATAGTGAGTATCGTGTGAGATCTGTGGTCTAAAGTGTTTTTTTTTAAAAGTGAATTTTGACAGGTCATTTGGCGGGAATTTGTGGTTTCTTTTTTTTGTTCGGTTTTTGTTGTGCGAAATGTGCAAGGAATTTTTTATTAGAGATTGGTTTGTGAGATTTTTTTTATTAAGATAATAGAATTATCTAAATAACAGTTTTAATTGTTGTTGATTTATACTGGATATCTTAGTACATTTTAAAAAAGGTAAGATTAAATAAAGTAATTGCTGCAGCCATAGTTCCACCTACACATAAATTTAGGCACCAATAAGGGTGTAAAAGGCCAGGATAATATGTAGGTAGTTTAGTATCTTATACTCTTATTACTTACTATTTATTATACATATAAGTAAAGCGGAAGTTTGTTTTTTTTGTTTGAACGCGTTAATTTCCGTAACTACAAGTCTGATTTGAATAATTCTTTTTGTGTTGGATAGCGCATTTATCGAGGATGGCTATAGGCTATAAAACATCACGCTACGACCAATAGAAGCTGAGCAGAGCGTGTGAAACCGCAAGGAAGTAGCTAGTAAATAATATGTTTGAAATAAATAAGAAAGTAATGTGAGTCAGCCAAAGCATCTAGTTAATAAATACCACGATGAATACTTATTCTCTTTGGTAATACTTGCAATACCAAAGCTATATAAAACCGAAAACGGAATAATCCAGCGTGTATAATAAACAAAATTATGAAAGACTTATGTTAGCCTTGGATAAGCAATAGAATATATTTGTAAGCGTGTTTTGAATACATATTTAAAATTTAATAGCATTCATAGCTTAGTGACTCCACTTATGAACTGTTTAGGCAACGAAATGTAGGATTTTGTAAGAAAATCTAGCGTTTAGAAACGTTTCATATTTTTAAAGTCTCCATTTTATTGATATCATAAGTAAAAGTGTCGTGGTGGCCCGGAGATTTAAGACGCCCACTTCTCATGGATGAGGGTGCGGGTTCGAAACCCACCAACGGCAAGTACCAATGTGACTTTTTCCGAGTTATATGTACTTTCTCTCTTCATTTAGGAGTAATGCGCGTAAATACATTTCGGTGAGTACAAAATAGTACCTAAAAAGATTTTCTATTGAACTACTACTCGGAAATCGAGAAAAACATTACTACAAACTCAAGTCATGGTCTCCAATTATATCAAAAAAAAAAAAAAATTAAAAAAAAATAGAGAATCATAGATAATTACATAATATATCAAGCGATCACACTAAACAAACAGATTCTTTCATTTTTGCTACTCGTATATTAAGAACGTATCATTCACAAATAGCGTAATTATATACTGTATTGAGTAACGTTAAGTAAAGTTAAGTATGATTGAATAGTGGTGAAGGTATTTTGTATATTGCAATTGCAGAAGTTAGAGCATAACTTAGAATTACTTATCTTCATTAATTGCTTGATGATAGAAAACTGTTGAAAGTAAATCCTCTGCTAGCGATGCCCTTACGCAAATCCAGTACATTTGAGAAAGACAAAAAGCGATAGTATTCTATGTATTTTTTACGAAATTCTAGGTTAAATTGTACTGTCTTGTCAAAAAAGTGCCTTTGCATAATATAACATAACATAACATCACGCCTTTTATACCCGATGGGATAGGCAGAGGTGGAGGTTTTTTTTTGTTTTTTAAAAAACCTTGCCCCACACTAAGATTTTCTCCTGTGTCGTGGGTGCGTTTACAAACATACAAGTTCACATACACAATGACACCCAGACCCGAAACAACAATTTGTGGATCACACAAAGTATTGTCCCGTGTGGGAATCGAACCCGCGACACGTTGCACGGCAGCCGGTTTCCCAGCCACCGCACCAACCGTGCAGTCAAATGTAATGTAACACCCACTTTTCACTGTTTATGTTATGCGTCCCATGTAATAGGGAGTGAGCCTATTGCCATATACCGGGCACAATTCCAGACTCCGTGCTACTACTGAGAATATTTAAAAACCCAGTAATACTTTGCCCGACCCGGGAATCGAACCCGACACCACTTGCCCGGCAGTCGCACTTACGACTACTCGGCCAGCCAGGCCGTCTTTTGCTATAAGTACATTTGCAGTAGATATAATTTTCAAAATAACACACAGTCAAGTTAGAAGACACTTCCCCAAATAAAATGAGAGTGTAAAACGTAAATGTAACTTGCATAATTATTACGCAAATAAGTTAATTAACATAGGTAAACGAGCAGCCAATTTCAATAATATAGACGCACAACAAAAACTGTACAATTTATTTTATGGTTTAAGCCGGTAAATGAGCAGACGGATCACCTGATGATAAGCAATCGGCGTCGCCCATGGACACCTGGAACACCAGAGGCGTTAAAGGTCTTTTGAGATTTGGGAATTTGAGGATTGTGGGAAATTCGGGGATTGGGGAGACAGGGGGGACGGGAATTGTACCTCCGGTAACCTCACTCACACGACGAAACACAAAGCAAGCGTTGTTTCACGTCGGTTTTCTGCTCGGCCGTGGTATCACTCTGGTCGAGCCGGCCCATTCGTGCCGAAGCATGGCTCTCCCACACTTGAAATTATAGGTACTAAATAGGAACGCCACGTTTGTTTTTCAAATATATATTATTCAGTTTGCATTTACCTAATTAATGTATTAATTGTATAGCAACACGATAGCTCAGTAACAAGAGCAGACGAGCATTGTCAGAGATAGCGACTTCCAGACTCGCTTGTATCATTTTTACCAGTGTTTATACATATTTATTTATGTCATAATAAAAAAACCACGTCAAAACACACAGCTGTCATAACTTTCGCGCCATTTTCCAATTTGACAGTTTTGTTTTTTTTTTCAGATCTCTCTCTGTGCCTTACTGCTACACCAAGAGGTAAAAGCCCAAACAGGTCCTATTGCTGGCTTTATAAGAACAAACCTCATTGGTCATCCAGTGATACACGACAAGGCTTCTTGGGTGTTCGACCCTGATGTGGCCATTAAAAGACGAAGACAATTCATTTCTTTGCATGGAGATAAAGGAGAGAAGCTGATAGAAAGGCTAGGTTTGGGAATTGATGGGAGGGATGAAGAGAGGCTAGAAGAACAGAGAAAGAGGGATGAGGGCCATTTAGGTGGTCTGAACTTCTATTTACCTTAGTTACGATACGAATTATAGGTTATTTAATGTAGATACAAATTGTAGATGTAAATAAATGTTTTTAGTAAGTGTAGTGTTGTTTTGTTTCAATTTGCAATTATCATTTGCATCTTATTTGTCATAAACTTTCATTAAAAATTAAGAGAAAAATTGTAACGACGAGCAAAGGTCCACTTCAATGTTCATTTACCACATAATATAACATCACGCCTTTTATCTCCGAAGGGGTAGGCAGAGGTGCACACAGAAGCAACACCCACTTTTCACTATTTATGTTATGAGTCCCATGTAATAGGGGGTGATCCTATTGCCATATACCGGGCACAATTCCAGACTCAGTGCTACTACTCAGATTTTTTTTTAAAAACATTTTGTCCGACCCGGGAATCGAACCCGAGACCCTTTGCCCGGCAGTCGCACTTGCGACCACTCGGCCAACGAGGCAGTCATTACCATTTGAATCTATTTTAAATCAACTTCAAATGAAAGAGGTTCTCAATTCGACTGTATTTATTTTTGTCATACTTTTTCTTTTTTAAGATAATAACAGAGTTGTAATGACGACTGAAGCTACATTCTCTGAAGATGTAGGTTAATCAAACTAAACTTGAAACGTCAACGTAAAAACCCTAAACAAGATGATTTTTCTTAAAAAGTATGAATCACTATATTCATTGGTCATAACCCAACATTTGCTCAATCTAACATTTCGTCATCCTGGTTATTTACTGTAGAGGATGTCCTACAAAAATAAATGTAACATCCAGTTATGTTATAGATCTATTATAGGTAATTAGGAGACGGGTATTTGCCAACTAGTCAAATTCCAATTCTTTTTTCGAACTTTTAAAAACGACGGTTTTCTATGAATTTTGTACGACGTTGTCACTGTTTTTTTGCGTCAAACAGCGTACTCATTTCTTAAGAATTCGCTGGAAAATTACTAAAATTAAGTTAGTCATTAAATCAATCAAAGAAAGTGTGATTATTTATTTAATATTTTATTGTATTGAACAGTCAAAATAATTTTCTTTTGATTAAAGAAAGTCATCCTTTGTAATATTCCACTTAGTAACGTATTGTAAATGCCATTTCATTCAACGATGTATATATACGAATAACCTCAGGTTTGCTGGAAAAGACTTTCAATTATGCATCTGCAAACAAGAGTTTAAACCCGAAACCTTGAACTTCACATTTCCGATCAATGACTAGATTCACAAACAACTTAATTCATTATAGTAATTGTAATGATTCTTTAAACGTCCACTCCAGAGCAAACGCGTCTCCCTTTAGTCCGTCACGTTGAAAGCCAATTGTACTTAATGTCTACCCATGACCTTGCCGCGGAGGACTTAATGGGTTACCGGGGCTCCGGCAGGAGTAGGAACGGGGTGTTTTTTAGTCAGTAAGAGTCTGACACTCCCTCCCGCCTCACCCAAGCAGAAGAAGTCATTCAATGATTTTCCTCCTTAAAAAAAACCCATGACCTTGACTGTCCTGTCCACGCAAAAACTATACCGTATCGTAATATTACCCGAGCGTACGGCGCGTTGTGTTCCGAGAGCCATCAGACCACCAAGGATGGGGCCCAACAGGGCTGATGCCGATTCGGAGTCGCGGAGAACCTAACGGGTTACCGGGGCTCCGGCTCGACGTGCAGGAGAAGGAACGGGGTGGTTTTTAGTCAGTAAGAGTCTGACACTCCCTCCCGCCTCACCCAGGCGGGAGCAGTAATGCCATGAACTTCCCCCCTTAAAAAAATCGTAATACTACCATTCCATAGTCACAAATGATTAATAATAACAAACAAAAAGTCAATACTAAAAAGCAAAAAATAACTATTATTAGTACTGATAGGTTACCCACCCACTGATAGGTAAGAAGTCGGTGCCATAAGTTTCATACAAAATTATTCATTACTTAAAACCTTAATAGGTATCTAATTCACAATTTTGTGGACATTAAGTTATATCATTATGATATGAGCTTATGGCACCGACTTCTAACCTATCAGTGGGTGGGTAACCTATCAGTACTAATAATAGTTATTTTTTGCTTTTTAGTATTGACTTTTTGTTTGTTATTAGTTTTTGGTTTTTGAAGTCGGTTTTTTAAACGCAGTTTTTATTTTATTATTTTACCATTTTCAGTGTAAAGCTACATATACCCGTTTTGTTACTTATAATATACATAGGTGCAAAGTCCTCATCAATACAAATTAATCAAGCCCAAACTCAAGGTAGTTACTGTATACCGTTGAGGAGTTCCCTTAACAATTACACTTCTTCATCATCAGACCCTTAATGACAGCCCTACTCTATCTAGGTGTAAAGTCCTCATCAATACAAATTAATCAAGCCCAAACACAAGGTAGTTAATATAAACCGCTGAGGAGTTCCCTCGACTGTCTGTCGACTCCATCATCAGGTCGACTCCAGACCCTTATTAAATTGTAGTGTTTAAAATTCGTAATTGAAAAACATAATAGACGCATTACTCCCCCATAGAATTTTCGAAAGTTCCCCTCGGTTTCCCTAGGATCCCATCATCAGATCCTGACTTCATGGAAATGGGACCATCTCGGGAGTATACCCTTTCAAACAAAACAAAAATTTTCGAAATCGGTCCACAAACGGCGGAGTACTGCGCGAACAAACAAAAAAAAAAAAAAAAAAAACAATCAGCCGAACATAGTACCTCCTCCTTTTTTTGAAGTCGGTAAAAATAAATTAAAACCTTTCAAAACAATTGCTAATGGGAATAGTAATTTTATTGCAAGTCGTTTGAAGGTTAGTAATGATCGTTACTGGTTTCCATTTGAATATTATGCAAGCCTAGTGTTGCCATGCTACTATAATTTATACTGAACCTTGGCCTGATACGTGCAACACCGGATTAGGCGATTGTGTCCGGTTTAAGGTGATAAACCGGTGTTTTATCCTACTTCGGATAGCTGGTTTAGACTGATAATAGATTTTTCCGTCAGTTTTACGATCGTTTGTTCCTTTGATATCCTTTGATATACTGCCTCGTTGGCCATGTGGTCGCAAGTACGACTGCCAGGCAATTGGTCTCGGGTTCGATTCCCGGGCTGGGTAAAGTATTACTGGGTTTAAAAAATCCCAGCAGTAACACGGAGTTTGGAATTGTGTCGGTATATAGCAATTGGCTCACCCCCGATTACATAGGACTCATAACATAAATAGTGAAAAGTGGGTGTTACATTGTACAGTGGTGTTAAGTGTGCACCTCTGCTAACCTCTTCGGGGATAAAAGGCGTGATGTTATGTTATGTTAGAAAATCTTATTTAAATCAATAATATTTACTTACGGTAACTATGTAAGACAGGGATGGCGAACCATTGGCACGCGTGCCGTTGATGGCACGGAACACAACATTTTGGGCACGATGAATGATCAGATACCTACAACGCATTTATGGTGTCTTAAATATTTCAGGTGTATGCAGTCATACTGCGGTGACAGTTTACCATACCAATTGTATACTTTATTGCTACAGATTGACAGTAAATAGTAATAATCAGTCGATGACACACATAAAATGGTAAAACAATTTTCTTCAAAGTAATTGGCACGCTAATGTGTAAAAGTTCGCCTTCCCTGATGTAAGAAGTTCTCTATTCCTGACGGCCGGAACACTAATCGACCAGATCTCAAAAGTTGGCACACAACAACATTATGACAACCGAATAGGTAACATAGATAAGCACACTTTTAAATAACATTACAAGTGGGTACTTTCCTTAATCAAAAATAAATTATTTCGACTGTTCAATACAATAATGTATTCAAAGTCAAAGCATTTATTTCAATTAAACAATAATTTAATACATTTGAAACGTCAACTGTGCCTAATTATATTTTAACATCATTAAAAAATAATAATCACACTTTCATTAAGTAATTGATTTTATGATCAAATTAATTTTAGTATTTTTCCAGCATTTTTTAAGAAATAAGTATGCTGTTGCTGCTTGACGCTAAAAACGTGACGTCACAATGCTCAATCTCGTATAAAATTCATAGAAAACTGTCGTTTCTGACAGTTCAAAAAAAGTATTGAATTTGACTAGTTGGAAACCCAATTACCCACTACTAGTTTATATATTGTATGTTTTGTTCGATTCGAAAATAAGCGTTTAATAAGTGTTTTTACACTCAATATAAGCTGAGGTGGAGATCCATACCACATCCATGCAGCATGGGAACATGCTCGAAGAGATTTTTACACATTCTATGTGTATGTATGAATATCTCGGTCATACATCCTGCTTCATGTTATAATGATGGGTAAGGTGGAAGGGAAGAGAAGCGCTGGGTGAAGGAAAAAGTCGTGGCAGCGCAATATTCGGGAGTGGACCGGTATCAGCTCTGTGGAACAACTTTTCCGTCTGGCCAATGACAAGGACCAATTCAAAAAGTTGACGGCCAACCTTCAGGAATGAAGTGGCACCATAAGAAGAAGAAGAAGAATGTATATGTGGTGTTATGTGCCGTAATGTGCACCTCTGCCTACTCCTTCGGGAATAAAAGGCGAGATGCTATGTTATATATATTGGCCTTTTACAAGCTATAGATGTTGAGGAAAAACAAAATAATGTTCAATATCATTTCATTTATTTATCGTAAAGTATTACAATATCGATTGACATTTTAATAACACTGAATGAAAACCTTAGTTTAAAGATACAATAAAGTCGTACACTAGAGACGTGAAGTAACCTAGCTTACTACCGAGAACAATATTTGGGATACAAAAAAAAATCGATAAGTAATCGATAAATCGTATCGAAATATCGAAACTTGATTCGGAATTCCGAGAGATTTATCCGTATGGGGTACGTAAGACTTATCTAATGTTATAATTGCTGTAGATTTGTTTTTATTTAGACTTTTTGTTGAGACGTTGATTCAATATAATGTGATTTTATGATAGCGTCTTTCAATCGATGTTTAGAGGTTTACAAACGAACGCA